AAGAGGTTCCTTCGGGTCGTTCTCTCCGAGCTTGTTTCTTTCCTTCTCCTTTCATTTGTATCTTGTGCATCATTAGTTGTATCAAAATGTTATGGAATAGAGATGTTAGAAAGAACCATTTCTATATGTCTAGAGGAGAAAAAAAAAAAGAAAAAAAATGATGATTTTATAGATGAATACTCTCAGCCATTACACATTTCATAAAAATAAACATGATTATACAAATTAAAAACAAAAAAAAATGTTACATAAGTAAATAATTAACCTTATTTTATATTAAATCCTTTAGATCATATAAACCAATTCCATTAATCAAACTTCGACAATTACACTTTACGAATCAAAAATGCACATCTAACCAATAAAATACACCTTGATTCAAGCATCAAATTACATCCATTTACAAGTTACTCTTTTTAGTCTCTGAGATACTACCAGTAGAGAATAGAGATCACTCCGTCCACCGTTGATGCTTGTTTCGGCCATCGAGTTCATCACCTGCTCATACACTTTCCTCCAACTGACATCGGTCTGGATCCAGTTTCTACTACGAAATTCAAATTGAAACGTTCTAATGGAGTACAGAAGGATCAAAGATCAGGTTCGAACACTGTTCTCTTCTTCTCCATGTTCTACGCCCTAGATTTCTTTCTCTTATTTTATCATACTCTTTATATAATTTGGGGCTCTCTGCATTCTCATCGATTTTGTCGGTTAAGTCGAATTAAACAACATATATCTCATCCTCATGGCTAGATTCGACCTCGATCTGCTTCCTTGCAGTATTGTTGAGTCCACAGATTCAATGTAATGTAATGTAATGTTACCTTGTAGGATAAGGATGTGAATCCTGCTAGTGAAGACCTCGAGAGCTTACGCGGCAAAGCTATTTTAGATGGTATCATACAGTTTTTCAGATTATACATTTGTTGTAAAATACTAAAATGTCATCGTGTAGGAGTTTTTTCTTCCTTTTGTCCTGAAGGTTTGTGCTTGACATTTTCAGGTCCTGCACCTTATGACAAAACAAAGTGGAAGATGAAGTAAGCAGTAGTCTCTACTCTCTATCATATCATTGCCAATTTCATTATATGCTATAAGATTTTGTATGTCATGATGTGTATTTCCTTCTCTTAATTGCAATAGGTCTATGGTGACACTAGCATTAACTTTTCTAACAAGCTCCCAAGCTATACTTATTGTCTGGTCCAAAAGAGCTGGAAGATACGAGTACAGTGTCACAACAGCAAACTTTTTGGTGAGGAAACTTTTGTTCTCCGATTTCAACTTTCAAGCGAACCTTTACTTATTGCTCCATACTCTGATTGAGAATTCTTTCTTATATTGTCTTATGCTAGACCTCCATTTTCCTTGCTTTGGAATCAGGTTGAGGCTTTGAAATGTGCACTATCACTTTTGGCCTTGGCTAGAATATGGAGAACTGAAGGTGTGACTGAAGATAACAGGTTTCTTAATATTCTTTCTTCAAAATTAAATTTGTCCCATGGTTTCATTGCATTATGGAAGTATGAAACTCACTCTTTTCATCAGGTTGAGTACAACAGTAGATGAAGTTAGTGTTTACCCCATTCCTGCAGCACTTTACCTTGTAAAAAACTTGCTCCAGGTTGATTTTTATCTTTTTATCATTCTTCAATCTGACATTATTAATTGTATTGAATTGAATTGAATTCTTTCTGATGCTTTTCTGTATTTTGTAGTACTATATCTTTGCATATGTGGATGCTCCAGGGTATCAAATCTTGAAAAACCTGAATATTATCAGCACTGGTGTGTTGTATCGCATAATTCTCAAGAAGAAGTATGTGTTCCTCTATCCTTTATGTAAATCCTCATGATGAGTGATGATTACTTCACATATTGACTTTTATTTGAATTCAATTGACTTTGACTTTTCATAGGTTAAGTGAGATCCAATGGGCTGCTTTCATTTTACTTTGTGCAGGGTGCACAACAGCTCAACTTAATCCTTCGTAAGTTTCATTATCTCCAGTTTACAAGTTTTTTTTTCTTACTCTTTAAAAAAACTTTTTTTTTCTTATATTGTTTCTGAATTGGATGTTTCACTTTTCATTAACAGTTCTGATCATGTGCTTCAGACTCCTTTTGTAGGTTGGATAATGGCCATTGTGAGTCCTTGTATTTTTCAACTTATTAATGTTATATTACAAAAAAAAATTGTTTATTAAAATAATTAGTATTCTAATATGTACTCAATTATTTCTTTTCCAGATCATGGCACTTTTAAGTGGTTTTGCTGGAGTCTACACAGAGGTAAACAGTGTTTTTTGTTGATTTTTACGGATAAGGTCCAATAGTTTCTTCTTTTAGCTTTTGTGTCCCTAAAACATATGGGGGCAAAATGGTCATTTCACATGTGTTTAACTCCTATCTATTTGCAGGCTATAATAAAGAAAAGGCCTTCGAGGAACATAAATGTGCAGAATTTCTGGTTATATGTGTTTGGGATGGCTTTCAATGTTGTTGCAATCATTATCCAAGATTTCGATGCTGTTGTCAACAAGTATGTTTCTTATACTCTGTGTAAAAGACGTAAATGCCCTTCTCATCTTTTTGTCAATACATCGTTAACTACAATTTTTGTCTTTTGTGCAGGGGATTTTTCCATGGATATTCACTGATTACAGTTCTCATGATTATCAACCATGCCCTAAGGTATTTTATTTATACCAAAATCTGAAAGATATGTTTTTTTTTTAATAAGATTTAATTGAAATAAAAATAAAAATGTTGTTTATTTATTTACAGTGGGATTGCTGTGTCCATGGTGATGAAGTATGCTGACAATATTGTGAAGGTAAGTTCATTGCATTGGCTTTCTTTTTGATAAAAAAAAATAATATTGTTATTTACGGTTTTGCCATTATTGTAGGTTTATTCAACTTCTGTAGCAATGCTAGTAACAGCGGTTGTTTCTGTGTTTTTGTTCAATTTTCATTTATCTCTGGCTTTCTTCCTTGGATCCACGTAAGCAAATCATTTTATCATTTATCTAAATTAATGATTCTTTATTTAATCAATGAATTAATAATAAGTGTTTGTTGACAGTGTTGTTTCGGTTTCCATCTATTTGCATTCGATTGGAAAGCTGCAAAGATGATCAAACAAGCCTTTATAAAACATAAACTTATTGGATTTATCTGTTATACAAAATTTTTACTGTTGTAATTTTAGATGGTTGGTTGGAGATAGTGTAAAAAAGCATCTTTATTTTACTTAAAAAAGTTTGTTTTTTTATTTTTTTTTATTTTATGTTGGGTTGGTTATATGCAAGAACTAGTAATGCACTTTTGCTGATTTGTCTTTTGTAACAGATCTACATAACTACTGATTTCACCCGATAATTTTGCATATGTGGGCCTCTTATATATCTCTTTATTTGACTTCCTCTTTTCTTCCTATAATTTTTGTATGGAAGATGATATTTGTATCTAGGTTATTTATTTATTTATTTAAAAATAAAGTGATTTGACTTTTATATCCTTCATCATGATTATCTTAATTTCAAGTCGATGATTCATTCTTTTTCAATTAAAATAAAGATATAAAAGTCAAATTATCTTAATTTCAAGTCGATGAATAAAAAAGATAAGTGAAAATTTCATCTCTTTTTATGGTTCAACACTTATCTATTTCAGGGGGTGTTTGGGATTTGTTTATTTAAAACAACTTATGCTTATTTGCAAAAGCACTTATTAGCTTTTTGGACGTCAAAACGAAGTTTTATAAAAAAATGTTTGGATTAGTTTATCCGGTATCAAAACATAATAAGTTGATAAGTTGTTTTTCGTGTTTGATAATTTCTGCTTATAGATGTAAAAGATCAATAAGAGTGGGATGTACATAAACATATAGTTACAATAGTATGGTAAATTGATTTAAATAAGTTAGATCAAATTAACTTATCAAAAACTTTTTATTTAAACCAATAAACACCTTAAATAAGTAATCTCAAACACCCCCTCACTGTCTTCAAGTTGTGATTTTATTGCATAAAGGCTGTGTTTGGTACGCCACAACTAACTGATAAGCTAGCTTATTTTTCGAATTTTTTTAAGTTGTTACGTTTGACAACCAAAAAGTAGCTTATAAGCTAGTTTTTTAGGAGTTTTTTAATTTTTTTTTCAAATATACCGTTAATTAATTGTAGAAACACATTATTTTAAATGTCTTTTTATATAATTTTATATTTTTCAGTTAATTTTACCAAACGTCATTTTTTATCAGCTACTTTTTCAGCCATTAGCTAGATTTTTATTTAACAGATAGCTTTGCGGCTAACAGCTAGTACGCCAAACATTGTAACATAACCAAAGTGTTACAATGACAAACGTTTTTTGGTTTTTACCTAAAATAACATTTTTACCTAAAATATCATTGATAACATGTCATTTTATAATTTTATATTTTTGGTAAATTTTTAAAACTTTATTATGATTTTATATGATTTTAGTCTTAACTTTTCAAACTTTTTTTTTGTTAAATTCATCCCAAAATTAGGTTATTTTACCTAAAATATCATTGATAACATGTCATTTTATAATTTTATATTTTTGGTAAATTTTTAAAACTTTATTATGATTTTATATGATTTTAGTCTTAACTTTTCAAATTTTTTTTTTTTGTTAAATTCATCCCAAAATTAAACTTTCTTTATATTTTATAATCATATGATTTTATATCAATTTAAGCCAGCTAGTACCACATCTTTTTACATCTTTTTTTGAACTTTTTATAAAGAAAGTTAGCAACTTTTTGTACAACCTTTTTAAAAACAAATTTGACAACCTACATCTTTTTATGATTAATTGATCACACACAAGTCACAAGTACAACCATATATAGCTTGTTTTTATTAAAAACAGATCTCATTTAAACAAAACCATATGGACTCCTACGTATTCTCCTTATATTACAGAAATCACATACTATCAACATCATCACCATTTCCTTGGACCTTATAATTTATAAAATCCAAACTCAAAAGGAGTACCTCCACTCGAAGCAAGACGTGTGACCCCTTTATACGAATAAACGCTTATGTTAAAGCAAGTTTTAGTAGCTACACTAACACCACAAAATGAGGGACAATATTGAAGCATGTAGGTAGGTGTCCTATACTTCCTATTCGGATAAATCACAACCTGAAAACACTTTCTCATATCACCACCAGTTGTAATCAAGTTCGAAGGCGCCTTTGCTTCAGCATTAGGAATTGTCCAAATGGTCGACTTATTACATCCAGACACATTTTTTTTGCCTGAATCAATACTGAGAATGCGTGATGTTCTGAGAAACGCATCACGTGTATAATGAGCAAAGTAAAACCCGTCACCTGGTTTATCCTTAGACGACGGGTTCATCACCACGTTAAGTGGACAGATTTTCTCATCGGTTAAATTGATTCTGCCACCCTGGATCGGGATGATGTGGTACTTGCCACCATTTCTCACCTCTCTTCCGGTGGTGTCTGTAATGGTTTGGGCGGCGGTTGTAGTGATCATAGAAGAGATTGACAATGTCGTGATTACGACGACGAAGAGATGTAAAGAAGTTAGTGATTGCTTCATGTTGATTGATGATGTTATTGTGTAGTATAAGAAGTTTTAAGAAGTAAGTATTTATAGGCCTATTGTAAATCAAAGGTATACTGTTAATTAACGCATATTTAAAATGTTATTTAATTATTTATTTGTAGATGCTTTGTCATTGTGACATGTGTTTTTGCTTATACATTAGTCATTATAAACAAGAATGACATTTGTTTCTCTCTTGTATTTACATACTTTTCCTTTTATGTACAATGACTACCCACCCTGGCCAACGGTGACGTGTTGGAGACAATCAGACAAGCACTACACCTCAAAATAAATTAAATAATAAAATTGTTATGATATTGCATATTTAGAATTCATATATGCATCAAAAAGTTCTTAATATGTTAACCAAGTTGGGAAATATTGGTACAAAAGGAAACTTAAGTACGTAACCAATTTTTGCATACAAATTACAATAAGTTTTGGCCAAATATTATTCTTTTTCTATAGTCATCTAATTAAGCAGAACTTTTAACTATCTACATAGAAATGTTAATTGCTTGTAACGATTTTTAAAGGGGACAAAGGGGTTTTGGGGATTAAAGCTTAATGTTTGGTCGCATGCCAATTCTGGTTCCTATACTTTCTAATTTTCGATTTTTGTTCCTCAAATAACACTGAATACACAATGGGGAGCACTTGCCCCACAACAAAAAGAAATTTAATTAAAAGCAGGTATTTTTTGAAAAAAAAAATTTATTCTAACCTTTTAAAAAAACATATTTTGACTCTTCATTTTTTTCCCCTATAAATAAAATTGAATTATTTCTTGTCCCCTCTTCGAAAAAATTCTGGGTAGCCCGTTCTTGCAACTCTTTACTTATAACCCTAGTTTGTTGATAACCTACCAAATTTAGTCCAATTTCTAGTTTGCTAAGTTAATTCAAAATCATAGAGAAAAAAGACAAATCATACTAATATCATTTAGCATTTTCTGAATTTAAAAAAATAGCCAAAATTTTAAAATAGCCATGATTTTCGTATAGAACATCCGCAAAAATCATCAGACATTTGCAGAATCATTGTAACAACGTTATTTGAAGATTTCTGCAGATGATCAGAATATTTTCTCATATATCATCTACAAAAATGGTGGCTAACAAAACCATATTTGAAAAAAAATAATTTTTTGTTGATGTCATTTGCAAACATCATGAATTTATATGTGAAAATTCAAGTTTATCTATGAAATTTTAATAAAAACTTTATATTTTTGAAGGGTATTTTTTTGTGTTAGATGTCTTCAAAAGCCATTTCCACAACAAAAGAAAGATTAATATTGTCATTTCATCGACATCATATTGAAGTATACTAAACACAAATGAAAATTCGTTTTTGGTGATTTAATCAACTAGACCTTCAACTTTGGTGATTTCAATCCAAAAATATCATAAGCAGGCTTTGCTAATCATCAACAATATTGCTTTTTCATCAACTTTTTCCTGATTGAAGCTTGATTCTTGTCATGTTTCTTTTCAGATAATTCATACTTTTTCCTATATTTCATAACTGCTCGCCATGATTCATCAATATTGCTTCATCATAGCTAATTTTTTATTTAATATCATATTCTTCATGTTTTTCTTATAATGAAAGTAACTTTAATTAGTCTATATGTGAAGGATTTGGTTAACTCTTAGTTTTAGTTTTGTAAATTGCAGTTGTTTTGATGAAATACTACAAAGGGTTTTGTTTCTATATTAGATACCATTCACATGTGAATATATCATGTAAGATTGGCATATAAATATACCTTGAATGACATATACTTGTGTTTTTATGTACATAAAAATTACACTTACAATTTAAAAAAAAAACTAAATATACTAAGTAATATTCGCATGTGAATATACTTTCACACGTAAATCAATATATTCATGAGTAAATGTCATAAAAACCCTCTAGTTTTCAGGTTTTTGTTATTTTTATATAAAATTGTATTTTATGTTCGTTTTTATCCTTAATTTTTTTACGATTTAACCCTAAGTATTTTTTTTTTCATATTATATCTATTCATGTAGAAAAATCGTATTTATATACGAAAAAAATGTTTAACGAAATATTGTATTTATGTTTTCTTTTTACATGATATATATATATATATATATATATATATATATATATATATATATATATATATATATAATATATATATATATGGTGTGTTATTTTGCCTGGTAAAAGCATTTAAAATATAAAAAACAAATTGATATGTTTTTATACCTACAAATACGTATTTTTATGTATTTAAAAGTATATATATATATATATATATATATATGTTTTTTAGAAGTACATTTATTTATTTTTATTTTTTTATTTTTTTTACGTTTTTTTGAGTATATACATATAATTTTAGAGGTGTAAGTATGTATTTATATATTTCATTTTAAAATATAAATATATTTTTAGAAGTATAGATACATATTCATATTTCTAAAAATATAAAAATATGTATTTGTACTTCTAAATACTATATCTATAAAATAAGTATTCATAATTCTAAAAATATTTTTTTTACGTTTTAAATGGTATAACCATACAAAAAACCATATAGATATATATATATATATAGATATATATATATATAGATATATATATATATATATATATATATATATATATATTAAAGAAAGAAAGAAATACCAATAATAAAAGAATGCAAATACAATATTTAATTTAACATTTTTTCTTACAAAAATATATTTTTTCTACATGAATATGTATAATATGAAAAAAAAAATACTTTAGGTAAAAGTGTAAAAAATTCTAAACTTAAGTGTAAAATCGTAAAAAAACTATACACTTAAGGGGTTTTTTGTGAAGTTAATATAATGGTAACCTGTAAAACCTGTTATCACAGGTAAAAGGGTAAAACCGAATATTTTTTTGGAAAATGTAAGGTTAAAAACGGACATAAAATTCAACTTTAGGCCAAACCGACAAAAACCTGTAAACTTGAGGGTTTTTATGACAATAACCGTATATTCATATAATGTTCAAATAATATTAATATTCACATAATAATCGGTATGTGTTTATATAAAACATGTAACGTCTCAAAAATACCGAGTAAAAATTTTATTTTTAAATAAGTCAAAACTATTTGTTCATTATCTCAAAGACAATCATAATAAAAATATTCTCAAAACATCAGAGTAATTCGTAAACATTTCAAAAGGCTCGTCCTTTTGAAACGAGGTGTACCTGAAAACAATTAAAACATAAACTGTAAGCACGAAGCTTAGTGAGTTTCCCTTAAAATACCACATACCATACAAGCAACGGGCCTCACACAATGAGTGTAACGGGCTTCACCCTAACTCGCATAATTGGCCTTGCCCCATGAGCATAGCAGACCTTGCCCTAACTCGCATAACGGCCCCCACCCAATGAGTATAACGAGCCTCGCCCTATCCCGCATAACGGGCCCCGTCCAATGAGTATAAAGGGCCTCGCCCTAACTCGCATAACATGCCCCACCCAACATAAAAAACATGCAAGTATCACACATACAACTAACATCCTACAAATATAATCTAGTGGGCAGACATTGGTGTCTTCGACCCTTAAATACTGCGAGAAGACTCACCTCAATCCGAAGATAACCCAATCTCACACTCGCTGCTGCTACAAAGCTTCTCACAATGAACATATCCAAAACAACCCTAATTAATAATTAAGGTGATAATCCATAATCAAGTATCTATTTCATACGCTCTCTCTCTTTCTCACTCACACACACACACACACACACACTCTCTCTCTCTCTCTCTCTCCCTCTCTATCTCTAGGTGAAAAGACCATTTTACCCTTCCAAGCTAGACCCCACCCAACTTGACCTAATGCTCAAAATTGACAACTAACTCCTTCTAATTGTACGCCATGCGTACTCTAGATCTATGCCATACATAAAGCCTTCCCATAGAAAACAGGGCAAGGTCACACTACGTGCTACGTAATCCAAGGTTACGTCATGCGTAACCAAACAGTTGCCAAAATCCATTTTTAAGTCCTTAATACATTAAGACATTTCACTCAAAGCTCAGGTCAGGTTCCTAATGGCTCCATAATGGATAAAGTTTACAAACAACCTTCAGATCTTGTCTTTAAGTCTCAAAGGGACCAAAAATGCATCTTTCTTAACTTAATCCATTAAGTCCAAGTCTCCAACCTTCAGATCTGAATCAATATGATGTTTAGATGGATAAAGTTTCCGACTTTATCCATAACAAGGTCACAGATTTTCAAGATATAAACTTTATGTACTAAAATGACCAAAAAGTGGAAAATATGACAAATGACTAGATCTATGAAACCAATGAGAAAGTTAGAAGCTTTTTACTCATAATGGTCCAGGAATGATGTAATCTTATTGTATCTATATTTGAACTCTTCTTCTATACACTTTGCTACCACCTTGCTCTTTAAGATTCAACCTTCCAATGGAGAAATAAGCTCATAAATGATGCCAAGGCTCCAAAACAAGTGATAGGAGGCTAGGGGTTTCTCAAGGAATGATCTTAGGTAATGAATGCAGGTTATGAGAGGGTTTCCTACAAGTTATAGCCCTTAAATAGGGCTCAAAACTGAGGAATTAGGGTTTTTATTAGCCTAGATTATGCCCTGCCTAACTCATTAAACTTGCGTTACGCCCTGCATAACTTTCATTTATGTCCTGCATACTGAAAAGCCCCCATTTTCCACTTCAACTTCAAACAACCATAACTTGTTCGTTTCAACTCCGTTTTTGGTGTTCTTTATATGAACGAAAAGGTATTGAAGAGCCCCACAATCATATATAATTACTTTTGACTCAAAACATACCAAACTAAATCCTTATTTCATGAAAATAGTATGAAACATCACTTTTCCTATTTTACGATTTGACCCCAAAACACAAATCGAGGGCTTGGATCTCATAACCAATATTATTAACATCCAATAGGCTCTAAAACCTATTCCCTTGAAGC